GAGATTGCAATTCTACTTAAACAGTCAAGATGCTTAATTAATCTTAAAAAGATGTCTATGCATTATGGGAAATTACTTACAAAACTCACTTACTAATAAAATTAATTTCAATTTTAAATAAATATTCATATTCAAATAATATTTTTAAATTTATTTATAAACAAGTTTATTTGAATCCGTACACAAATTTATGTCAGCAAAAGTAAATTGTAATGGAAATTATATCTATATATAAAAACTGTATTCTTAAATATAAAATCACAATTTATGATATCACTTTTATTCTTTAAAAAAAAAACACCTAAGATAACTAAATATATTAATTAAGAAATATATAATAAACATGTAATCTTATAATATATACCTCGATCTATTAAGACAATACAAATTTTATGTAAAAGATTCTCAAAATAAACTAGATATAAATATATATATATATATATATATATATATATATATTTATGCAGTTATTCTTTTACTGGATTGTATCTCTGTATTGCTTTATATAAAATTATTTGTTTTCACATTAAATACTACTAACAGAATCTATCTTTTTCACACATGAATACATATACATATGTTACAAACACATCAATATAATTTCCATTTCAAATTGACATAAATATATAATCATTTGATAAAAATATATTTACATCTCAAAACAAATCTCACACATTTTTACGGCAGATAATAAATTACTAATGAATACCTTATACCCAACGTATGGAAATCATTTGCGTATGAACATCTATTATCTATCCAAAAAAATAAAAGATAAAATTAGTTCGTATATAAATTAATCTATAAAATTAAACTAGTTATAGTTTATGAGTTTTTTTTATATGTACTTACAAGAAGCTTGTTGAAACAGGGATGTTAAATTGAGTTGGATTTTGCCAAACGCGGATGATAATGTCGTATTTATTGATAAAAACAATAATTATTTAATAATAGAAAAAATAGAGTAGCATGAGCTTTCATTAGTTGACTCCGTCACGAACAGTAATTTCAATTATTATCTCTTTCTTTTTCTTCTTCATTATCTGTTTCAAACATATTGCGTAAGTGCTAAGGCTGTTTCCGTTCATATTACATTTTCATGAATACCAAATATTACTAAAATAAATATTTTTTTAACAAACACCGAATTTTTGTAGGTAAGAAAAATAACCAAACAACTACATGTTCTTTTAATACAATAGAATCAATTACAATAGTGATAAATACTTTATTAGATTGAAAAATATTATAAATAATTTATGAGTGAATTTAGCTTATCCGCGATAGTACGATTTAAAGAAAATATTTTTATTTTATTTTATTTTATTTCCTTTTGTTTTGTGACTTGATAAATCTAAATATATTATTAAAAGATTTTGTAATGTATAGAACAATCATAAAAAATATTTGTACGAAAGAAGAAAGATATTGAAACTGTTTTTGAAATGTAAAAAATAGAGTATTCAAGAAACTTTCCCGAACACAATTATAATGTGTATGTACATTCCAATAGGGAAATATACCATTATACATAAAAATGATATAAACAAAGGACTTTCAACTCATTAGTAGTGTCACGATTTTACAAATAAGGGAATTTGTTCGTTATAACAATCGGTTTCCTCCTGATAAAAAAATTAATTAATTAGTGGGAATTATATATAGTTACGCAGTGTTAATTAAAGTTTGTCCATTTCACCATTTTTGATAATTTTTATGGAACCTAAAATGCACACATATTCGAGTCTTATCAACTTGGGAAAATTAAAAAGGAATTTAAAGGAGAAGATATAGTTGTGGGTTTTGGTTTCATTTGAAAATCTCAAACCATTTGAAAAGGATGTTCCTTTCAAGTTTTGGTAGACATGACCTCAAAATCAATAATTTTGAATCATGAACCTAAATTTTAGTGGAAAAAATTTTCAAGTCCTCAAAACAAATTTTATATGCCTCAAAATAAGATTGTAAAAAGTGTTTGAAATGAATCACTTTTAAGTTTAAATGAACCTACATTATCGACAAAATATTATCAGTGACAACAAATTGTTGATAAATTTAAATTTATTGATAGATTTTTCAAATGGATTTCACATTTTAATATATCAACGAATATTTTTGTTTGTATTAAATTTGTTTGTAAAATTTGTTGGAAAGATCCTTTAATAAAATACAATTATTATTATTGATAGATATCTTTATCCATCACTTATAATTGTAATTATCGTTGAGAAAAGTCATCGCAATTGTCCATCTTATCATCGATGATCAATGACAAATTTTTGCATCACTAAAATTTATCGACGACCACTTTAATAATTAATTTTTGTTCGTAGGTAGTCCGTCAGTAAATACAATTCATCGATAATTTTTGCTATTAATAACATATTTGGTTCATTGGTAATATGCAATTTTCTTCTGATTTGAAAATTATCATTTTGTAGTAACATTTTTTCCTTAAGTTCAAATTCTTAAAAGTTACCTTAATCACAAATTCTATGTGTTTCTTAAGGATTTGGATTTGATGCTTTTTATAACGTCACACAATGAACCCAATCTACTTGAGGTGGACTTGTACACAACAAGTTAGGAAATTTATATGTTTTCCAACATGATTTAAAGTGTTTTAATGTTTTTGCACAAACTGTCGAAATGAATTTGACGAAAAACTTACTTATATAATAAATCAACAAAGCCACAAATATCTCTAAATTATTGAAATTTATTTTAATATGAATTTCAATCAACATTCATGCATTTCTTTCTAAAATCACGTTTTTTTTGATATTTTTATTTTTTTTTAACAAATGGGATGCGGATGAACTAGAAATATAAAATGAAGAATAATAGATGAAAAAGATAATGGGGATGAAGGGTTTGCAGGAATGTAAATTGTAGGAAAATAAATTATCAAGGTTAGAACACAAACGAGTAAAATAAATCAACACAAACATTGTGGATATATATTTCAACAAAACTTTTCCTAAATATTTTTAAGAGAAAAAATAAATAAAAATAAAAATCATAATCTATAAAATATACAGGATTGATTGTTTGATAGAAGAAGAAATTAATAAAATTATTTTTTTATCACTAAAAAAACGATAAAATCTGTCTGCATATAAATTTCAAAACAATTAAGAAGCTTGTTATAATATAACAGGGATTTTATAACGAGTTGAGTTTTGCCAAACGCGGATGAGAGTTTTGTATTTCTTGCGGCTAATAATACCGACACAAACGATAACTGCAAATGATTGCCAAAACAGATCAGAGTACCACTAAATGGAATCTAATATTCCTCTTTAATTATTTCTTTCTTTATTTTCTTTTTTCAACATATGGGATAAGTACGTAACTCGGACATTTTAACGAAGGATATATATTCACTACATTTGATAGATTCATATTATTTAATACTCTAAATATATTTTTCTTAAGACGTTTTTAAAAATAAACGATAACAAGAATTTTAAGTTCTAAAACAAACAATATATATTAAATAAAATATTTAATCATAGTGATATTTTGTTAATGAACTTGAAGTTAAAACAATTTTTAACTCATTTAAAATGAAAATTAGTATCATGTAAATGAGCATGTAATACTATAATAATTTAAATTCCAAATACTTATTGATTGTAATTTAATGCTAAAAATAATATATATTTTTTAAAATTATCTAATTAAAAATTCTAAATAATTAGTGAAACTTTTAGAAAATATTTATATATCTAAGTGGTAATTTAAATAGTTATATTCAAAAAGTAAAATTAAAAAAAATAGAAAACTACAAAAATAGGGAAATTTATTATCCGTCTTTTGTTATTTAGTAAGACATTGAAACTCTGTCCATCTCGATTTATTCTTGAGTAGACAGAATGTTAGGTGTTGGAAAGCAATTCCACTATAATGGATTATTGGTTTAAACTTTTATAAATAATATTGTAGTACTATATTGTTTAAACTTAAATTCATAGTTTTATAAATTATACTTAATATTAAATTAATTTATATTATTATGAATCAATTAAACTTATTCCATCAAATAAAAAATCTCACAAACTTTAACTTTTAAATAAATTTTTATTTTGAGTTAAAAATGATCACCAATCATCCGCGACACCTCGACTCAACATGCCTGATTGGCGTCCTTCGGACTAACCACTCACTTGTTCAGATAGATATATATATCTATCTATATATATATATATATATATCTTAATTTATAATATATATAATGTTTTACACGTTTTGTGATTTTTAAAATTTATTTAATATGTGATTATTATATATCTATATATATAATCACACTTAACCACTGGGTATTAGTATATCCCTGTTTTTTTATTTAAAATTTTGAGATAGGATCTACAATTGATCAGAACTAATCTCCCCAAAAAAAAGAACAGTTTGTACTTAAAGAAAACAATTCCTTTATTTATAAATATTGCTTTATCATCAGATAAAGAAATTAATTTTCGAGAATTCGAAGTTAAGATATTTTTTTCATATATAGTTTATATTTTTAAAAATATTCTTTTCAATGAACTTGAAATTTCCTTTTTTTTTATTATGTTTCTCGGCGTGACTCGTGATGGAAGGTAGAATAAAATTTTCTCAACTTCAAAAAGATTTTACTATGATAAAAAAAATATCACAATACTCTAATTACTTTAGGAATTAAAACTATCTATATATAATTTCTAATTACTTTAGGAATTAAAACAATTATCCGGTAATCAAACTTGGTATTAAATGCTTGATTAGTTATTAGATATTGTAATGAATCATCATTATGAGGAGTTTTTCAAAGATTATAGTCATTATATATTGTAATGAATCATCATTTAGAAGAAGAAAAGTTAGGATGAAACACATTTTTTACTGTGCAAGTTTTTTATTCTGATGTTGAGTGCCATATACAGTACATAAGATCATGATGCACTCACGAAATTTTACATTGTGTCTATAAATTGGCATCCAAGAGAGAAACCAATACTGTCACTCACTTCAACAAGAAACACATTGAGCCAAAAGCATGGAGCATTTCTATCTTTCCCTCCTTCTCCTCTTCGTTTCTCTCGTCACCTTCTTCTTCTTCCTCCTTTTCCACAAGCACCGATCTCCCTTCTCCGCCCCCAACCTCCCACCGGGAGCCACCGGTTTCCCGGTCATCGGGGAGACTCTCCAGTTTCTCTCCACCGGATGGAAAGGTCACCCGGAGAAGTTCATTTTCGACCGCATGATCAAGTACTCCTCCAAGCTCTTCAAAACCTCCATCCTAGGGGAACCCGCCGTGGTGTTCTGCGGCGCCGCCTCCAACAAGTTTTTGTTCTCGAACGAGAACAAGCTGGTGGCGGCGTGGTGGCCGGAGAGCGTGAACAAGGTGTTCCCCACGACGGTGCAGACGAACTCGAAGGAAGAATCGAAGAAGATGAGAAAGTTGCTCCCACAGTTCCTAAAACCCGAGGCTCTCCAACGCTACGTTCCCATCATGGACACCATCGCACAGACCCACTTTTCTTCCCTTTGGGACAACCACACCCATCTCACTGTCTATCCCTTGGCCAAAAGGTTCATCTTTTGTTTCTTCATCTATCTCCATTATATTCATTTCACAACCTCAAATCTTTAATAATATGTAGAACATAGTCTTGTATGAAATTATCTTATTTTTTTAGTTGACTTTTAGTCGACAGTGAAACTTTGAACAGAATACTAAATAGTAAATGTATCTGGACATAGAAAAAAAAAAGCTTATTTACCTTGATCTCACGTTGTTTCTCAGTCATGCAAATTCTGCAGTCTGTTGCGAGAGCTAATGGGTATTGTATCAGGTACACGTTTATGTTGGCGTGTCGTTTGTTTATGAGCGTTGAGGATGTGAATCACGTGGCGAAATTTGAGAACCCTTTTCATCTTTTGGCGGCCGGAATCATATCAGTGCCCATCGATCTTCCCGGAACGCCGTTCTACAAAGCTATCAGAGCAGCAAAAAGCATCAGAAAGGAGCTGTCGAAGATCATCAGAGAGAGGAAAGTTGCTTTGGGCCAAGGAAACGCTTCGCCAACACAAGACATATTGTCTCACATGCTGCTCACGTGCGATGAGAACGGACATTTCATGAGTGAATTGGACATTGCAGACAAGATTCTCGGACTTTTGATCGGTGGTCATGACACTGCAAGTGCTGCATGCACTTTCGTCGTCAAATACCTCGCCGATCTCCCTCACATTTATGATGCAGTCTATCGAGGTAATTAATTAATTAATATTTTTATTCATTTGTTAATTCATATATACAAATTCATTTTATTTCATTATTCTTTATTCTTTGTAAATATATACTAAATGTTATACCCACAAAAATCTCTTATTTAAAGTCAACTTTCAACTGAACAAGTCAAAAGCTTCATTTTTCAATCCTCTTAACTTGTGTCAAACTTCACCGTTTGATTTACATAATTCGGTTGATGTTTGAATTACGAACTAAAATCCAAAACAAAGTATCAAAGGATGATCTCATCATTATGCGTTTGTTTGTTGCTCTAATTTCGTGCAAGGTAGAATCCCACCTCATAATATTTTTTTATCTTAAAAACACAGTAAAATTTAGCTTTTTTATTTTATTTTTTATACAGCTCCACCAGAAAGAAACCTTTCTTTCAGGGTACTTCATCCTGAAATAAGCACTTGTAACTAAGTCAAGCCCAAAACCAAAAACTTAAGAATTCTCTACATGAAAAAAATACATTATTGTGTTAAAAGAGAGAGTATTTGTAAATAAAATATATATATATTTATTAATACATTTTAATATAAGACGTGACTCTTTAAGATTTATATATACACTTATTTTGGTATTCCTTTGTTCAGAGCAAATGGAAATTGCAAAGTCGAAATTGCCGGGAGAGTTATTGAATTGGGATGATATAAACAGGATGAAATATTCTTGGAATGTAGCTTGTGAAGTGATGAGAATTGCTCCTCCCCTTCAAGGAGGTTTTAGAGAAGCTATCAATGACTTTACTTTCAATGGCTTCTCAATTCCAAAGGGATGGAAGGTAAGAAAATTGTATACGAGTTTCCTTAAAATTTTCAAATTACAATTACCTGGTTTAACATTAACAATGCCATAATAAAACATATTATGATATGTCATATATACGTGGTATTTTACACTAATAAAGGAATAATAGATTTTAATTAAATAAACTTTGAAAAGCCTGAGTCAAGGAACAACACACTTAGATTTCCATAATGATAAAATATTGTTTGTTCTGGATTAAATCTTCGTAAATTCACTTCTTGATAATAATTCAAAAAATTTCTCACAAATAAAAGTATTATTATTTGTATATAAATTTATGTGTATTTTTTTTTATTTGATGTGAGACTTTGTTTATATCTATAGAGTCGTATTATAAGTTTTTTTTTGTGTGATGAGTTTGGTTCTTGTAGTTGTACTGGAGTGCAAATTCAACACACAAAAGTACAGAATACTTTCGAGAACCAGAGAAATTTGATCCAAGCAGATTCGAAGGAGAAGGACCAGCTCCTTACACTTTTGTGCCATTCGGTGGAGGACCAAGAATGTGCCCTGGAAAAGAGTATGCAAGGTTGGAAATCTTGGTTTTCATGCACAACTTAGTGAAGAGGTTTAAGTGGGAAAAAGTGATTCCAGATGAAAAGATCATCGTTGATCCCTTACCCATTCCTGCAAAAAACCTCCCAATTCGTCTTTACCCTCACAAACCCTAAAAACATACACAAAAACTCTTCTGTGCTTCCTACAAATCAATCTACCATACGCATACATATATATACTTATACTTCAAATGTTTTCTCTGCTTTATATTTATTCTTTTACACTTTTAATTTCTTGTATTCGAGGGACTTGTCAGTAAAATACTTACACAACTTCTATATTTCCAAGTGATTATTGTTTTGTATTAAAATATCAGTTGGGGTTGACGGGATAATTTGCATTTTACCCCTTTCAGTTATATGAATTATACTTGTTTACTATACTTGGGGCTTCCGTTTTCACCATTTAACTTTCCTTGTTTCATCGAAAGATACTATAATATACCAAAGAATGTTTGTTTTCTTTATTTAAGTATAAGCCTTGAAATTTTAAGAAAGAATAGATAAGTAACTAAATTTGATTTTTGTGCACATATATGTCTATTCATGACCAGATTCTGATAGAAAGAAAAATTAGGTTTAGATTTGCTTAAAAGTTTCCCCCATGAGAAAAAGTAAGGGCTAGTTGAGTAAGACTGTGCTTAAAAACTGAGACTTTAGGCAAAATTATTAAAAGATGTTGAATAATAATATATATATTTTTTTATTGAACCTCTGTAAAATTAATAGTAAATAAAGAAACAATTTTCTAAACTTAAAAAATTGTCAATGGAGATTCCCGAATGCAAACCTACATTGTGGCTTTAATTTTCTTTCTATGCCTTATTACATAATTAATTAATATTCTCAACTTTTTATTTAATTCTAGTGTGCATCAGAGGCTTATGAAAAATTAGAAAAAAAAAGGAAAATTAATATTAGGTTATACATAAATCAAGCCACAGGTCGACAGTTTCAGTTTTGGACTCTCTTATACAGCTTGCAGCCACATTGTGATAGTCTGTAACATTTTTGTGCCCCTCAATTAAGGGTACCAAATCAATAAAGTGAAAAAGTATACAAAATATTAGAAATTGTTTATAGATACTCTTAATATAATTAAATATTAATTTACTAAAAATTAAGATATCCTTATTTGTGTAACCTATTATTATATAGGTTCACTTTATATATATAAAAAAAGTATTTTTCCTTGTAATAGCCTACCAAGAGAAAAGGCAGATATGATTGTACAGCTTTAACATAAAGCAAAAACAATGGTTTCAAATTATTATTTTATAAATAATGAGAAATCATATTATATATGTTCAATGCTAAATCACGTGTCCATATATTTCAACCTTCAATTTTAAAAAAAAAAAAATTCAATTTATCCAAGTTAAATAAATCCCATTGTGATGAAATTGATTAAATAAATCGGTTTACTGATAATTTTGTAATATATTTTTATTTTTCTCATCCATTAATACATATGAGGGTCTCTCTAATTCTCAATCAGAGAATATTCTGAACTCAACAAAATAAATCTACTTTTAAGGACAAATATGAATTTTTTAAAGAATCGCCTAGAAAATAAATCCAGCGTAAAACTAACAGATTCCATTTAATTGAAAGGAAAAATCAAGTAATAAAAATAGTTAAAGTATGTAAAAAAAATTAAATTCAAATGTAAGGTTTCATTAATATGTTTGATCTTGTTAGTTTTGATCGAAATATTTTTATCGAAATGACGTCACTTTATCCCCCAAACTCAATATGATCTAGGTGAGAGTTTCGATATATTCATATTTTTCTTCTATTTTTATATTATTTTTTTCATAAGTCATGTTAAAATAACACTTTTTTCTAACTAGAAGAATAGCATAAAATTTATAGATACTCAACATTTTCAATAATATAACACAACATATTACTTACATATTACACTATAAATATTTTAACCCTTGTTATAAGATATAAAGGCCTACATTATTACTTATTTAAATTATTAAACTCAATTTTCATATTTTAGTCCTATTTAGTTCAAAATATCAACTTTTTTTTATCAGCAAAGAATATTTTTATATTTTATAGAACATTTTGGATGTTCAAGTCTTATTACACTTATATACAATCTTTGTTTGCTTAGTGACCCCACTTAAATCAATCATACACACATGAAGGCTTTCCAAAACCTTCCTACTTATAGCCAGTGACGTATCCCATCTTTATCCAATAATCAATTACCATTATATATTTGTCTTAGATTACAAAAGGAACAAATTATAATAGGACAGGTTTGTGTGCACAAGGTCTTTTTCGCTCTTTTGTGCATTGCATTTTGTTGTGCATGAGCTTAGTTCCTTTCCAACATTGTGCCAAACATTTTTCTTAATCAAATTTTAAAATTTGATAATTTTTTTCCTTAGATTTTGAAATTTGATAAAAGATTTTTCAGAAACTTAAAGAAAATAAAAAATCATTTATTTAATTTTGAAATTTGTTGGAAAAAAAATCATTTATCAAATTTCAAAATTTGATAAATTTTTTTTATTGAATTTCGAAATTCGATAAAACAGAAAAAGTGAAGTGTAGAATTTTTTGAATTATAGAAAGTAGTTTTGGAATTTTAAAAATATTTTGGAGGTGTAAAATAAAATAATTGGAGGTATAGGATGAGATGACCTTTTACGCTTTCTCTAACATCCCATTTTGCATTCCTTTTTCCTTCAAATTGAACCGATGAGTTTTTTTCCTTATTCATCTCCTTGTTGTTTGAGATTAACACGAAGGGTCTCCGGTTCACCGTATTCTTTATGTGCTTCTTCTCCAATTGCTTGAGCTTGACATATTTGTTGGTTTGTACATGCAAATTCAAGACACCCAAATGACAAAGTAGACTAACATAATCATAAACTCTTATGACCAACTAGGTTATAAAAAGGTGAATAGAAAAAATAAATGAGGCCCAATAAGAAATGATAATGAGGCTTTGACAATATTTTTTTTATAATATTTTAACATCATCTATGTGTCATTCTGTGATTGGTCCATATTGGTGTTTATAATTATTATTGATTGTGAAGTAATTTTGGACCAATCACAGAATGATATATAGATGATGTTAAAATGTTGTCAAGGAAATATTGTCAAAGTATCAATATCAATAAAAAGGAAAGAAAGAGAGGAGATGAACATTCATAAGACAAAAAAGAAATAATAAAAAATTTGGATAAGCTTTAATATTTACCTTTTTTTACTTTATATCGTTTAGTGACAAAGATCCTCTCGTTATCAATAACCTATATAAAAAACTTCATTCAAATAATATAATTATTAATTTTATAACGTTAAAAATTAAAACTAACATAAAATTATATATTTCTAACATGAAAATTATGTGAACAAATTAAAATTAAATATATCGTCATATTTTAATTAATATTTCAATAATGTTTGGCAACTTTTATGAATAACAATACATTCATGCAGAATAAAAAAAGTGACGAATATTGTAGATTGACTTTTTTTTCTAAAACATAACATGACATTATTAAATATCTTTTAATTAAATTGACTTAGACCGTCTTTTATGTTTTTACCAATTTTCAACTAATTTGTTTGCATTTGTATTATAGTGTCTTTGAATTGATTTTCCGATCGATTTACCGGTTCATGGGTTTAACAAGTCGACGTAGTCTGATCTTCAAAACAAAGTTTCATCTTGCATTAAGTGTCATGGAGCGAAAAATAAGAGAAAAATGTACATAAAAATTGGCATGAAATAACAAGTAATGTAACTGAAAGAAAATAGGTTAGAAAATAATAATAATTATGAATATGTTTGAATAAATATTCAAGGCACGTGAAAGAAAAATATAACGACAATGTTGATTTTTTTGTTAAAAATAATTGTGTATAAATTATTTTTTTAGTGTATATATATATATATATATATATATATATATATATATATAAAAGTTTAAATTATTAAAAAATACTTTATGATTTTATTGTCGGACATAATGTATGAATGATTCTTTGACAAATACTTTAAGAAAACACTTTAAGAAAGGGTGTTAGGCAGAAATGAGGAAGAGAGAAAACGTAAGTCATTACCTCCTAAGGCGGAAACTTAGCTTATCACTCTTAAATCATAATAGTCCATGCATGCACGCACCCATCAATTCGCTACCCCTTTTTCTAAGAAAAAACTTTCTTTTCTTATTTATTGGATATTAGTTTAAAAAATATTTACACAACTTTTATACATCTGAATAAAGATAACTGTGCGTTTTATTCGAAGATATTTGATGCATTTGCTATTAGATGTGTAGAGAGAGAAAGAGAGAAAATAATACATATTACATATATGTAAGTGTACAATCACATAACAAAAAAAGAAATAAAAAAAGTTATGAATATTAATAGACTATTTGCAAAAGTACATGTATACAACTGTTTTATGGACGGTTGAATCGAAACCTGGTAGTTCTTGTTGTCTGCTAGCAGATCACCAGAGTTGTCATTTTTGTTTTTCTTATGAACAGAGATCATTTATGATAAGAATAATAGTGAATGATTATGAAGAGAAATTCTATGATTTTTTTATTATTATTGAATTTCTAAGATTACACACACATATAATTTTAAATACAATATTACATTTAAATTTTGAGTTGGTAAGACTGTTATTTAAATGTTCATACCACAGCTTTTAATACTTGACTCAATTAATTTTCGTTTCATATTGTAACTTCTCAAATCAAGTTAAGGATAGGAATTTAAAATCAGTGATAAGAGGAAAAAAGATAAACTTATAAGTTTTATTTAAAATAAAATAGATTAAACTATAGTATTACATACTAACCTCTTAGGCTATTTAAAATTTGTTTGGATAAATTTCTTAGTAAACACTTTTAAGAAAATAAATAGATATTTTTAATTTTCATTCCACTTTGCCACTTAGTTATGCATATTTAAATTTGGGATAAATAGTAAATTGTTAGATTCTAAGCTTTCTGAGTTAGAAATTGTCTTAATGTTCAGCCACAACATCACCAACTTGTTGAACGTTTCATTTGTATTTGGGAAGGAAGATGTAGGAAAAGGCAAGGGTATAAAAAAAGTTAAAACGGTTTCTTCCTATGGGCTGTTATTCTCCCCATTCGGTATACATGTGTATGCGTAATCCTTCATAATTTAAAGGCATATTACACA